CGACCCGGCCCTGGGCCCCCTCCCTGAAAGGGATTGGGAAAAACGGTCCGGTCTGGGCTAAGTTGTGAAAAACAATCAGAGTTACGGAAATCCCGGTTGGTTCGCCCGACCCTGGCCTGCCACCAGCTCCGGCACAGCTGCCCGCAGTGCTGCAGCAGCTCCAGCCCCGGATTTCCCCTCAGAAACCTCCAGAAAGGGTGACCCTGCCAGCCAGGCCACTGGTGAGACCAGGGTCATGTCAGACGTGCTTGAGGTTTATTAGTGAAACTGAAGGCAAGGCCCTGTCAGAAACGCTGCATTGGCCTAGGTGTGATTTCGAGGTTGCTGTGTGTGAGTGTTTCTTGACACAGTTAAGAGCTGGTGTCTTCAGATTTCCTTGGTGACATCTAGTAGAAAAGTGGAATTAAACAGCTTTGAGTCCTGAGATGTTCGGTGGTGGAGCGCCTGCTAGGCATCGGGTGGGTTAGTCAGTCTGTCCACAGACAGACCCTCAGTATTAAACCATTCAGGCCCTGGTTTTTTTAAGAGAAGTGGAGGATGCTTCTGAATCAGCAGGAGTTGAGGTGTTGCCCTGCAGAGCAAAACTGGTGCTGGGTGTCCAGGAAAAGAAGTGGGTAGACGTGAAAGCATAAACCTGATGTTCCTGTTCACCTCTTATAACTGTAGCTCAGGTGTGCTGTCCTTTCTCAAATGGTTTGACCCCTCCCAGGTAGGTGATTTCCTGCTCAAAGGGAACATTTCTCTAATGCGTTTGTTCCTTCTCCTGAGCTCGTGGTGGTTATAACACAGGAGCGTTTCCACTCGCACTGATGTTTTCAAGCTCAGTGTTTGATCCATCTCCTGTGTGTAGAATTACTCTGTTTGTGGATGCCCTCATTCCATTTCTCTGTTAACTTAATATGCCCTAAGGTACAATAATGCTGGGAAAAACTCTCTGGGAGGCCTTATTGAGGACTCGCTATAGTATTTTATTTTTCGTCATCATGCTTTAATCTGAATGAATGCCCAGTTACAGGACAGCTCTTGATGAAAGTCAGTTAAGCTTTCTATGAAGTGGGGTTTTATTTCTGCTTGCACCTTAGTATAGGCACGTTTGTGCGTGGTTGGTGTGCTTAACTTTGCGGTACTGCCAGGAGGTCTTTCCTGAGAAGTTATTTTGCTGGTTTCTGATTTTAAAATTGAATCTTAACTAAAGCCTTGTTTTCTTTCCAGATTGGATGTGGAGTCTGAACTGCTTCTGGGTGTCCCTCTAGAACATTTCTTGTTTCTCCATGTAATTCTCCCAATGGAAGGCCACCCAAGGTTCCTGTTCTCCTGTTTGTGCTGAGTGGTTGCTTGGAGAGGTGGTGAATGAGTAAAGATACGCTCGGTGATGGTAAGGCGTGCAATTACACTTCAAGGCTAACGGCATTTCTGTAGCCTTCTGCAAAGGCTCAGACACCGTCAGGAGTGGCTGTTGTCTTACAAAACTGAGCAGATTAATTAAAATCAAATCAAGGAAAGAGTCGAGTGTTTTCCATAATTTTATTTAATCAATTGGGGCTGGACAAGGAGACCTCCTGAGGTCTCTTCCAACCTCAGCCATTCTGTGACGCTGCGATTCAGTGCTCAGCTGAGAGCAGTAAAGAAAATAAGCTTAATAAAATGATCTACTGTGCAATTTTCATGGGCATCTGTTCTGACTGTGTTTTATAGGCACTATCTTCAGTAGCTTGTGAAAGCAGCAGAGCACTGAGCATGCTCTGTAGTAAAGTACAGTGAAAATCCCAGATTCTTAGTTCACAGTAACATGGCATTATTACTTTCCCCTCACCTTCATTTGAATCTTTGCCACCTTGATTCCTATTGATCTGTTTCTTCTCATTCTCTTCCCAAGGTTCAGATGTGGGCCTTGCTCTGGATGTGGTTGCTGCTGCTGCTGCCCTGGGAAAATGCCTTGATAAGGAATTAACACCAGTCCGTGATGGGCTGTGGGACAAGCAAAGTGCTTCCCGAGCCCCCCAAAGATGTGCAGCTAGACCTGGTTAAGAAAGTCGAGCCTTACACAGGCCACAGCGACATATACAAGCATTTCATCAAAGATGACTGTGGGACTGTCATCAAAGCCGGCTCTCCCTCACCTCCACGTCACCCTAACCCCTATCCTGGGAACCACCTGCCCGCCCACGTGGACCAACCCGAGCCCCGCAAGAACAAAGTGGCTAAATACCGCGCCAAATTTGACCCCAGAGTGACGGCCAAGTACGACATTAAAGCCCTGATCGGGAGAGGGAGCTTCAGCCGCGTCGTACGGGTGGAGCACAAGGCTACCAAGCAGCCCTACGCCATCAAGATGATAGAGACCAAATACCGGGAGGGGAGGGAGGTGTGTGAGTCGGAGCTGAGTGTGCTGCGGCGGGTCCGGCACACCAATATCATCCAGCTTATTGAGGTGTTTGAGACCCAGGACCGTGTGTACATGGTGATGGAGTTGGCGACCGGAGGAGAACTGTTTGATCGAATCATCGCTAAAGGTTCCTTCACCGAGAGGGACGCTACGCGCGTGCTGCAGATGGTGTTAGATGGTGTGAAGTACCTGCACACGCTGGGTATCACACACCGGGACTTGAAACCAGAGAATCTGCTGTACTACCATCCGGGAACAGATTCCAAAATCATGATTACGGACTTCGGGCTGGCAAGCGCTCGGAAGAAGGGAGATGACTGCCTGATGAAAACCACATGCGGGACCCCAGAGTACATCGCTCCCGAGATCCTGGTCAGGAAACCGTACACGAACTCTGTGGACATGTGGGCGCTGGGGGTCATCTCCTACATTCTCCTGAGCGGCACTATGCCCTTTGAGGATGACAACCGCACCCGCTTGTATCGCCAGATCCTGAAAGGAAAGTACAGTTACTCAGGCGAGGTGAGTGTGCCTAGAGCTGCGGTGACGAGAAGTCAAAGGAGAAGCTCTCTGTAGGTGGGTCTTTGTGATGACCAGAAGCTGGCTGTCCTGTGCAGGGTGGTAACATTATCAGGGTTAAAAATTAATAATCTGTGATTCTGGCTTTGAAAATGCTTTCCAAAACTGCCTCCAGTGCAGCATAGTGAGCGGCTTTAAAACCTGTGTGTCTGAAGAAAGGAGAGGTCTCTTCCTGTAGGGCAGAACTGGAGGCGTTGACACAACCAGGATGCTTGTGGGTTTGTAGCTGGGGAGACCCCAGCTCTGGTAAACTGCTGTTCGACTCATCACTGTTGAAACTCATGCCAGGGAAAGTGTTTGAAATGTGGTGTGTGTGTACCTGGTGTGATTTCTGACACAAATCCAAGTGTAGTCTGAAAAATACCTGTGCTGAAAGGCAAGGTTATGGCAAAGGGGTGCTTGCTTCTCAGATCTGGAGAAGTGAGCATTTCTGAAATTGCTCTTCATTGTCTCTGAGCTTATTATGTGACAAAACTGAGAATTACAGGATAGTTTGCTTAGATAGCTATGGAAAGAGGAACCTTGGGGGATAGATTTTAGGCAGAAGATGGATACCCCTACCCTCCCATACTCCCATGAGTCCACAGAGTGGCTGGGTGCTGGCACAGTTCCTGCTGCCTTGCTTCTGGTCCTGGTGGGACATCTTGACTACCAGCCGGCTCCTGAGCCAGCATAGTTTGCAAGTTGCTTTTCTGCCTATATCCCTCACTGGAAATACTTAAAAAATAAGCTTTTATAACCTCTTCCTCTTCAATAGGAGAGTGTTTAGATTCCTGAACTCCATGACTTTGTGACATGAAGCCCACTGGGAAATTATCCATGGGTGGCTAAGTTTGATTCTGAAATGACAGTAAAGTAACTGTCAAAAAAACCAGAATAAATTAATGATCGTTCTTGTAACATGTGAAGTTTTTAAACATATTAAGCTTCCTTAGGATTGCGTTTAAAAAAAGAAAATTAAAATTGCTCTCTGAAGTATTTTCAGAGGTGTAAGTCTTTTATACTTTAAAGCTGTCAGGCCAGCTTGTGTTAGTAGTCGGAATATCCGAGTTAAATGGAGCTGAGGAATGTCGGCATCAGCATAGGAGGCTGCTGAGGAGAGCCCAGATTTGACACCTTTGTTCATTCTTGCTGTGAGCGCTCCTCCAAGAAGTCCCTGGTATGCGAGCAGGCAAAAACGTGAGGAGTCATAGACCCCCAAGTTTGGCACTTTCTGAGCCAAGTGTGTTACTTCCTTCAGAAACCACAGTACTTGATGGGTTTCTTGCCAGAAGTATCCTATCAGTGGCTCCCTTGAACTCCAAGCTTCAGCTGACTTTGGCAGCCTCGGCTTCTTTGTGTTAATTTGCTGTGTTAATATGGTTTCTTACCCAGTTGTGGAGTTTTAAGAATGCAGTCGTGTTATCCTAATGCAGATTTTTTTGATTCCCCTGTTCTGCCCCATGCCTCGAGGTGCCAGAAGGTCAGGGAGGCTGTTGACTATGAGTTTGCTTCTTAATCGCTTAATCTCTCTAACATGTTGTGATAATGAGTTCCATAGTTTATTGAAACACATGGAAAAGCTGTTCCCTTCACTTAGTGTTTTTTTACTTCTGCTCATTTAACTGGTAATTTCCGATATACGTCTCCTCAATCCCCTTTACTTGAGCAACTAGTGAGTAACTTTTCTGTGTCTGCCTGCCAGTTGTCTTTGTACTTCTTTAGACTTTGTTTTGAGGCTGAAGATCTGTCTGTGTTTAGTACCTCCTGTGGAATGAATACCTATTATTGATATATGTATTCCATAGAGCTGATTTTTGCTGTTATCCTTATCTAGGCTACTTGTAATCTTTGAGACGTGGCGATAGGTGAGCACTGTGGCTCTGTGGTTCTCTCTCAAGGTCTCTCTCCCTTCACTACTTTTTCCCATAGGGTTTCTGTTACTGGTTTTGTTTCTTTGACACCTCTGAGCATTTGGCTGATGGTGTAGAGTGCTCCGCCATGGCTCCAAGAGGTTCCCTAGGTGTTAATAGCTGATTTGGGGATGTCATGGTGTCTGTATAATTCGGTGCAGTCCCTCTGATGTCTCCATCCGCCAGTGTGTGAGCTTGTGTTGAGTGACACCGAATTTTGTGACTGCCATTCATCTTTGTCACTTGCTGGTTTTACATTTTTGCAGACTTTTCAATTAAGTTTAGCATGATATCCAGGACAGATTCTGCCTGTTAGTGTGAAATGTGTGGAAATGGTGGAATACAGGTTTGGCACCCAGTAAATGATGCAGATGATACTGAGCTGTTGAGCTTAAAAACAGAGCTGAGGAAGTAGTGAGAGACCGTGTGATAAATGGGCTGATGTTTGGTGTGGACAAACTTGAACTGGTCCCATGGGAAAATGGGCAGTTTGAATTTTCTGGAAATGATGGTGGGCCCTGAAGGTGCTTCTTGCTCCTCAGAAGAAACAGTTTGAGGTTAAACACTTCTAATCATAATTTGATTAGAATTTAATTAGGAATTAGCGTTACTGCTGCAGGTGTCCTTGCCCTGCCATGCCTGTCCCGTACCTGCACTTCAGTATTGAGTGCGGTTCTGCTTCCTCTGGGGAGGAAATACAGAACTGAAAAGCATGTGAAGAAGGGCAGCGTGAATAACCAAAGGTGTGGGCTGGCTTCCATTTGAACAATTGGTGAACAAGCTTGGGTCCTTCCTCAAAAAATAAGTGTTTGAGGGAGGGCTCTGACTGAACTCAGTCCAGCCACGGGCAGAATAAGGAGAGTGAATGGAGAGCAGCTGCACTCGGTCTTCTCTGGGGTAATTTACTTTGATGTCCTCTGGTCCTTGTGCCCGAGCTGAAGTAGCTTGAGAAATTTTGGGACTTTATTGTGACTGGGGCGTGTAGGTCACATACACAAAGGTAGCACGTGTGCCATAGAGGAAGCATTACTCTATATTTTGGAAGTGCCAGTGCACAAGGCTGAAGCGTTATACTTGTTATCCCACCACAAATTACGTACTTTAGGAGGCTGTCACATATCCCGTGTGTGACATGAGTGGTGGTTTGGGAAAGCTGTAGCTGTTTTACTGCTTGGAAAGCAGATATGTGTCAGGCAGTAGCCGGTATATTTTGCCCAGATGCTCTCTGTTCTTTCAGAGCCAGAAAAAAATGAATGCTTTACTTTACCAGTGTAATTAAGCCTATATCCCTAAATTGCAGGCATGTTTGACTGTAGCCAGGTATTGGCAGGAGATGCAGTAACGAAATGCCCACTCTGAATAAATTCTAGGTGGAAACAAAGTAAGCCAGAGATTTAGAGGTGTCTGGCATGTTTCCCACAACCTCGCTAGCTTTCTTAAGGCTATCTTCTGGACTTCTAAATGCTTCCAGATTTCTGATGTTCACAGAAAATTGCTCTTCTCTTTTTGTGTTACACTGGAGGAAGTGGGAAGATGTCAGAAATGAGGTTGTTGACAAGTTCATCAGACTAAGGGAAATGGCAGGAACTGTAAGTCCTGGTTTATTTGGAACAAGATTGAGCGTGATACTTAACTGTGTTGCAGAAAGTGCCTGTCTCAGGTAGATGCAGCAGCAGAGATTTCATGGGAATGACTGCTTTTCTTCTCTGTAATGTGCACTTTGAAGATGTGAAATGGAAGAGGAAATGTTAAAAGAAGCCTGCAAAGTGAAGTGCCCAGCACCGATAGCTTGAGCTGTGCGGCTCAGACAAGTTTCCGTGGGGAAGGAGGGAGCCGTCTCCCAAACCGTATTGCAGTACCATGTCACACAGCAGCAGTGCTGTGAGTTTGCTGAGAACCCCACTTTTTGAAAGGTCTGGCCTCAAACCCTGGTCAGAGAGGACAAAGCTGTATTGAGAGAGGAATAAAAGCCAAGGTGCATGCTGACCTGAGAAGCAGCTCCATCTTCTCGAAAAACAAGTGAGCTCACGTCCAGCTGATGTTACTGCTTTCTGCCTGGGACCCTCTTACCACAGCTCTGCTGTTCCTGGAGCGTGAGGTCTGTTTGAAGAGGCTATTAGCAGATCAATAGGAGAGGTCTCCCATAATAGGTTATTCAGGTGCTGCTGACATCACTGCTCTGATTTGCTCTTGTGCCTTTTTCTGCACTTTCTGAACTGCTTGGAGTAATGGGTAAGGTGAGGAGCGAAAAAAAGCTGGCTTTGTAACTTGGCTGGCTTTTTTTCTGAGCATCTCCAAGTAAGGGTTACGCAGGCTATTGAGACTGCATTTGATGTAGCCTGCTACAAAGCTGTTCTTGTTCACTTGTTTTGTTAGAACTCACTAGAAAGAAGATTTGGCAATATTTTAATTGAAATATTAGGGATTAAACTGATATCTGGGGATCTCTTTGTAGCTTAAAAAGTTGTCTGAGGAATAAAGCTGGAATTTCATTCACAGTTTCCTTTGAATTTGAAAGTGCAGAAATGAACATGGGACCATTGTTATCCTGGTAGCACAAGCTTGCTCTGGTTCTGTTTCAAAGCTTGTCCTTCTGTTGAATACCAATACTTTTATGTTGCTTTACACACCTGGGAAACTAGCTGGAAGAAGTGGAAGATAATATATGTTACGGTTAAATTGGGAAACCGAGCTAAGGTGTATGGATTGTTCCAGTTTTGATATCTGCTCTGGGCAAATAATTGTCCCTTGTGGTCCATTTTCCGACTCATAAAACAGCTTTTTGTGGTATGTTCACTGTGGGTGAGGTTGGTGGGTGCTGGTGTGGGAACATCTCTTAATCAGCTTAAACCAAAAAAGCTCGTTCTAAATAATCGTTCTAGTGCATAAATGTGACACAAGGAGAAACTTATTTGAGATATGGAGGAAGTTGGGCATTGCAATTCTATAGGAGCTCTGCAAGGACCTTAACAGCCGTGCAAAGAGATGAGCTGGTTTTGTGTGGCTTCAATTTTTCCGGTGATGCTTATTAAAGTTCCTCACCAAGGGCTC